ACCCAAAACCCAATTTCCATAATTTCCATGACCTGATGCTCCTAAAAATTTCTTAGGTTTGATACAATAAGTTTCATATGCACATATAATAATAATAATAATAATAAGAGTATTTCCTATTAGCACCAAATTCGCTTTCAATGTACAATGATTTTACACAATAATAATAATCAATTAAATATATTTTTATTTTTAACATTTTTATAGTTATAGTACAAATTTTAATAATAGATACAGACACCTTCATTTTCCCTTTACTTAAAAGCACACAAGTCTCTGAAACAAAATATTAATCCATAAAGTACTCCTAAAAATCATCTGCACGACCAATGGGATCCAATTGTAAATCATATTCAAATCACTGGCGAATCTGGGGGGAGGGTAATAGGGTAAATACCCCCTCTTGAGCTTAGGTTAGGTTACCCACTACCCAAAAGAATTACGATAAACTGTCAATCAAGGCTTGGCATGACGATTTATTACCTCCCCCCTTTGATAAATTTCTGGATCCACCTCTGATTCAAACTTTCTAATCAAACTGCTTCCACCAAAACATAAAAACTTCATACTATTTCTCTAATCACACACTTCATACTGATTACTTCACTCCTCTTGGCTGTTGTCTCCAAATCGCAAACTACAATCCACTCGCGAAGGAACTAGCCACTCCTCAAATTTCTGATGACTTTGAGAGGCGTTTGAACGAAAGTGGTTGAAACCTATTATTTAACTGAAAATTAATACAAACACGGCAAAATGCCTTCATTGGAAGATCTCTTTATTCAAAACTTAATTAGCCACTGACTACATACAACACTTATATTTATTGTAAAAATATTTTACAGATTGTGTAATAAAAAAAATGAATGTTAAAAATATAGAAAATAATATAAATTTAATTAAAACCACTTATAATTATGAATTCTTTCACATTCACAACAAAGAACTATTCTATGAATCATATCTTAATATTTTTAAATTTTTAGAAATTGTAATCAAATTAGTTCAAATAGATGTTTATATTAAAATTATTAGTAGCATAGATTAAATATTTAATATATTTTTTATTTTTATTTTAGTACATTTAATCTAGTATATTTATATTAGAAGCCAGTATTAATAACATCACAAACTATTCACATAATTCACAAATTAAAATCAGATTAAAAATACTCTTAAAACAATAAACAATTATAAAAACTAAAATTAATGGGTTATAAGTAGGTATGAAAAATAGTTTCGTTTAGAGGGATTGGAAGCGGTGATTTTCTATCTTCGTCTAATACACGCTCAACATAGGATTATAGACATATTCTTTTTCCAGCGTACCGATTCATATAATGAAACGATAAGAATTAATTGTCATTAAGTCTCCTTAAGATCGAAATTTCGAAATTTTTAATTTTATGCTCTAAAATCTTAAACATTTTCTATTAAACAAAGAGTAAGTAATTATAAAATTAATATATTTCAATTTTTGAAGAAATTAAAATCAAAAAATCAAAAATGTAAAATACATGATTTCAAGAAGACTTGACGCCAAGCTCAAAACTGTTTTCAGAATTCTTATCGTTTCATTATATCAATCAGTACGTTGGAAATATTATATCAAGTCTATATAATCCTATGTTATGCGTGATTAGACAAAGGCAAAAAATCACCGCTTCTAATTATCTTAACTGTAATAATGATTAGGTTGTTTAAAAAAAAAATGTGATTGATTATCAATTATTTAGAATAAAAATGTTTATTTTTATTCACAATTATTTTAAAAAGTGTAAAAGTGTATATTATTAAAAATCGTGTACTATTAATTATAATTGTTGTTTATGATTAAAAACAAATTGTATAATTGATTACAATATAACTAACATGTTAAATACTGTAGAACGCAACTGGACTGCATCTACTTAAAATTAATTTTTTTTTCGTCACAAATTCTCAATAATAATATTAATATAATAGATATTATGTATAAATATGTCATACTGCATTCGATTAATGTAAATATAATTAGGTTTAGGGCATGTATTATTGTACAATTGTACTAAAAATGTTCAAAACATGCAGCTATTTTTCATATTTATTTAATAATTATTATTCATGAACAAATATGTATGATTAAATAAAATTAAGGTTTATTATTTTTTTGCAATGTATCTACATAGGTATTTATTATTACCTAATTATTAGGTAATATTGTACCAAAATGTATTACACTAAACCTCAAAATAATAATAATAATTGTTGAAAATGCTTTTCATTTGATAATTATTTACATATTATAATATGCATTATATAGTAAAATATAAAATATACACTATCAATTATCATATACAATGTCAAACTTTTTATTTAACATCATTAATTTGAAAAATAAATTTATATATATCTTACTTAGATTATTCAAGAAACATCATAAAAACACTAGAAGTTCTGAAGCCTAATTAAAATATTATATTACGTTAAAACGTAGTACGTACCTACGTACAGAACTACAGCCTGGTTTAAAACAGATTTTTCGATGATTTTGATTAAACACTAATGAAAACGCAACGTCGCAGTAAAAAGAAACAGCAAGAACACGGTGTTGAAATTAAAATTAAATTAAATAGGTATTAGTGGTATTATTAATTACTAATAAGTAATAATTAATGGGTATCACCTTTCGGTTTTTAATATATATTGTTCACTTTGATCAGTTCGTTCGACATCGGCAGTTATCCTGATTACCTAAACAAGTAAAGTAGCAAACTAGTAAACAATTACAACGAATACAACTGATATGCGCACGTTGTAATCTACATGCCTGCGCACTTTGTACTTGATAACAAATGTCAATATTGCATTTGTAATATTTAAAATAAAGCTAATACTTTAGTAAATGTTCAAAAAATCTTTTTTAAAGCGGTTAAAAAGATGAATTATTATTTACCACTATATAAAACTATTCAAGGATAATGTTTTCCATATGTATTAGACATTAGTAATGTCATTGCAACAAAAATTGGGATAAAATATATAACATGTTCTAAAATCTTAATAAGTTCTAAGTATTTATAGGTGTTATAATATACATCTTGGTTAAAAATTAGAACTAATCGACACTATCATAAACATTATTTGAATAATATATTTATTTTATATTATATAAATTATCAATTTAGTATTAACAGTAACTAAAAATAGATATCTATAATTCTCAATTGAAAACAAAATTGAAATAAATGCATTATTAAATGAAAAGGATTCAATAAGAGGATACTGGATAAATACATCTACTTGGTGAAATAATTTTGTATGTATTATCATATTCATACTATAAGCAGGTGTATTATTTTAATTGAACCATTCTACAGCCGTATAGGTATATGCATATTAATATATTACAGACATTGATTCAATTTATAATAAAAATAAATAAATAAATTACTAATCAAATTTATAGGTAGGTTAAGCAAGTCGCAAATGTATTTCATATAATGATAAATAGGTATATAATATTATGTATATAGTGATTTTATACCTAGTTTTTATAGCTATATTGTATCAAGATTTAAAACATCAATAGTAGATACAGTTATAGCCTTACAGTTACACAAGTTTCATAGAATGAAGAATTATAAAAAATCAACATAATTGTTGATACAAAGTCAACAATAATGTCATTAATGTGAGGTATTGGGATGAGTCAATGGAAAGTCCTTACCGGAATTCAAAAGACAAGAGTTAAATAAAAAAAAGTTTAATTGACCCATTTTCCCATAGATTAATGTATCTATGTTGTATACCATAATAAAATTGTATCAAAATCTAACTATAAAATTTACTTGAAAGAAAATAGTATTCATGCATGTGTTGTCTCCATCTTACAAATGTAAATAATAACAAATATAAGTTCAGTAGAACCCATTTTTGTGTTATTTGCTTAAATATAAGATTAAATTGACATTTTATAAAATTTGAAAGTAAGAATATTATTTGTAGATTTTTAAGCTTAAGCATCAATTTTTTTTTTTTTTTAAATATTTTAATTTTTAAGCAAGATGATATTATTATGAGTACTTAATACTTATTACCTATGTGAAATCTTATTAGTTAAAAATTTAATAAATATGCCATTTTGTAATATCATATTATTTTAATACTAAAATTCAAGTACATTCAACGATTCAAAAATCTGAAATGTTGGAAAATAGTAGAACACTGTAATAGATACCTGTGTAGTAACGAGTTTAGGTTTATAAATGAGAAAATTTTTTGGTTTAATGTATTTTGCATGAATGTGTCTTGTCTATATGTCTAGGCCAGAGAGATAATACTAATGTGCATTGACATCCTCTTTTTTAATAATATTTGTCAAACATTTGATATCCTCATAAGTTAACCTGCCTTATTATAAAAACTAATTTCTTCATAATATTATAAAGGATCTATTATAGATTTCAAAGCTATTCAAAAAGTATATTTATGAATATAAGAATATTAAAATAATATTATTTTTTTGTATATATATTAGATTTTTAAGCATTTATTTAAATGTATCTTTAAAAAAAAAAATCAATACACTATAGTTTAATTATCATGCATTTATTAAAAATGAACCAAAACAATAATAACATAAAATATTTGTTTTTAAAATAAATTAAAAATATAAAAAATGAGTAAATGATAACATGATTTATATTGACAATAAATTAATTATAATAAATTTTATACTTAAGAAATAATGAAAATATTTGTTCTTAATTTATAATGTCTTTATTTTTAATAAAAAATAATATTAAAACCTAGAAAATAGTACTTAGTTATGTAACAATAAATAATATAATACATAAAATCATAAATAAAGAATTTTAATGGCAAAAATTATTTGTTATGAAAAGTATTAATTTATTTTTTACCTTTAGTATTATAATAAACATTCAGTGTAATGTTAAATGCATAACACATATTATATTATACATCCCATACTATTCATACAGTTTAATTTCAAATAATTGACAATGTGATTAATAGACAAATTAAATTACATTATTGATTAATACAACATTGTATCTTAGAATTATTTATCCTATCATTGTTAGAAACTTCTTCTGGATCAATTTCAAGTTTTAAATTCATTGGTGATTTTGAACTTTCTACTATTTCTATAAGGTTTTGACCAATATTTGTGAATAAGTCTTGAATACCTGAAAAATAAATAAAAATATTATAGTTCATAGTATTAATATTAATTTTATTTAAACTTAATCATTTCTTTATTTTATCGAAGTATTTATGAAATGTGCACAATAGCTTATTTTATCAGTTATTACTTATTACATTTTAAGGTAGTTAAGTTAAAGAAAAATAATACTAAATCAATATTATAAGGATATTAACATACTATTTTTATTTTCCTGGCCTACAGTGCAAATAGATGTTTTTTTTTTTTTTGTTTTGTGTGTAGACAATAAGTAGTCAATAAAATACTTTGATTTTAACTGTTGAGTGATTTTTATAATTATTAGAATCTAGTATTTTGTATCTTAAAGTGGTCAAAATTAAAAAATCCCTATCATTCAAATAATCATAAGAAAAATAAGAAAGAACAGATATTTTTATGGAAATCCAGTTTTTCACAAAATTGATTTTGTCTTTTTTTCTTGTATAATTTAAAAATAAATAGCAGTAGGTATTTGAAAATTTCATCAAATATTTATAGTTATTATTTTCAATAAATGAAAATTTTTTGAGCTACTTATAAACATGAAGTTTTATTTTCTATATATTATGTTAGTAAAATATTATTTACTGCGTTAAAATTCTTAAGAATTTAAAACAGGACCCTGTATAAGTAATTTATATTAAAATACACAAAAAATTCATTTAAAATTAGAACGTTTGCAAAATTTGTCAAAATCACAAAAAATTGAAAATTTTTTGTAGATACAAATTAAAAAAAAAAAAAATTGTTTTATACATTGAACATTTCATACAATATTCGGTGCTGCTCGGATATGCGATCTACTGACATATTTCTGCCCAGATATGCGGTCTACATATTATGTAAACCGCACACCTATAATACACAGTAAATAGTAATAGTAGTATGTAAATAAATATTTAAAAAAAAAGCAAAAAAATATTACCAAAAAAAATTAAAAATTGTGTAAAAAATATTTAAAATAATTTCATTTATAAAAACTTTAAAGATAAACTGCTTTAATGTCCCTTAAAAATTCAATAAATAAATCAGGTTCTTCTTTTCTAGCAACTTTCCAACAATAGTGGTCGAAATGAGATTGCAAAAGTATAATAAATATAGGCGGAAAATACAAAACTATTGTAAGTATACATTATATTACAGCAAATTTGGGTCAATTTTATTTTTTATTGTTTTTTTTTTTTTTATCGCTGCTTAGATATGCGGTCTACATACATGTTTGTAGACTGTGTCCTGTTGGTAGACCGCATATCCGAGCAGCACCCAATATTCCTCTTAAGTAGTTCATACTGTAATCATAAAATCTAAAAATATATAAAGACACTTGTTTTTAATAGATATTTTAAATTTAAAATTGGACAAAATTAACAATATTAATTGTTTTATTATAATTTAAAAACATTTATTATTTTCGAGAGATTTTAATATTAAAAAAAGTATAGCAAAGAATATTTTAAGTAAACATAATTTGTATGTATCAATCTTGAATCTTGATTAAATCTCACCTGTATTTGAGTAAACACTAGTTTCCCAATAACAAGCATTTACTGAATTAGCAAATTCTTCAGCTTCTTCATACATTATTGTCCGAGAATCCAATAGATCAGTTTTGTTACCAACTACATAATATATCACAGGTGTGTTTGTATTTTTTCTTACTTCTGAAATTAAAATAAATACTAAGTTAATAAAATATATTATACTATACTTACGAATACACATTAAATAAATAGCAAAAATTAAGTTAACGTTTTACTAATTTTAGATAGTTTATAAAATTATAACTGTTTAAATACCATTAATCCAACTTTTAACTTGATTGAATGACTCTCTGTCTGATACATCAAAAACTACAGCAACTGCATCTGAATTTCTGTAATACATTGGAACTAAGCTACGAAACCGTTCTTGTCCAGCTGTATCCCAAACCTTAAAAAATAAAAAATATATAATAGTATTAATTTTTATTTAAATTAGGAAATTAAATATAAAATAAAATTACTTTTAAAGTAATTTGATAGTCTCGTAAAGTAACTTTAGCATACATAAATGAAGCACCAATTGTTGCTTCACATTCATTTTGGAAATCACCTTTAATATATCTAGTAATTATACTTGATTTACCCACTCCTGAAATATAAATATGTTTATTAAATTATAATGTATATTGATATACATATTTTCTTATATATTTAAATAGCATATTTTGGATATTAAATGATTATCATAATTTAAAAAAACTTGGTATAATCAGTTTAATTCTATATAAAAGTAAAATATAACTTTATAAATTATGATAATTACTGAATACCATTGATTAGTCTCTGTTTTATTTAAATTGTAGCAAATTTGTGTTCAGCAGAACACATTTTATGTTAATATTGGAGTCAATTTACCTATTATAAAACTAACATATCCAGGAGGCACAGGGGCTATGTCCTTCTCCCATTATAGTCTTATTTGCTATTTTTTTTTTCTAAAGATTTATACTCTTTATTATTATATATATATGTACTAACTTAATGATTGCCTAAAAATATAATAAATTATTTGCATTAAAAACATTCAATAGATAGTTGATTTTTTTTTCTTTTTGATAGTATATTTGATAAAATTTTTAATAGTATATACCCCCCTCCCCTGAAAACAATTCTCGTTATGACTTAAAGGTAAGAATATTATCTAAAAAAAATCCTATGCTTTTATAAATATTATCATATCCTAGATAACATTTTTACCTTTAAGTTTTATAATAGTTAAATTGATTCCATTATTAAAGCTAACAACATAAAATGTGTGTAGCTGAACGCAAATTTGCTATAATGTAAGTTAGTAAGATAAAGACAACACAATATGCAGGTATAGATTATCTTACGTACACACATTTAAACCAAATGGTTTAATAGGATCTTAATTTTAAATTTTAAATACTAAAAAAAAAAAAAAAATCAAACTTTATATGCTACATGTTTATTGATTTATTTTATTATTTAATAACATAATATTTTTAATTTGTACTTAAGCAAAATCAGCAAATAAAATTATTTTTTAATCATTTAACCCAACACGTTTTTTTAATTTCAATTAGTTCATTATAATATATTAGTTTAATGAGTCTATATAATATTTTATTTTTAGTCTAAAGGTAATATTTATATGTTGTGTACTTGATAAAATTTATTTTTTAACAAGTTTGAGTTAATTATTACAAATATGAATATGTATATAACATTATTAACAGCTACTTTGATTCTAAACACTATTTAAACTGTAGCTAGCAAAAAATGTATGTTTCTTAAGCTGCATAGATTAAAAATATTATAAATCTCAAAAATTACTAGAAACCATCATATATATAATAAATTTACCTATTATAATTTCTTTTATAAAATTATTTGAACAATAGATATTATCATTTGTCAATACAATGACTAAATATTTTCAAATTTCTATCTAACAGGTTTTCTAGACGCCATGTCTAACTTCAAAATAAATTAATATAGATCGATAACTTACTTAGAACTATTTTTTTGATCATTAAAACTATGTAAGACATGATGGAATTTCCAGTTAAAATTTGGTCACAGTAATAAAAATTACTAAAAGTACTTAAAAAGACTTAAAAGAATAGACTCATACTATAAATAGTTTAAATTGACATTAAAAATGTCATTAGAACAATAATAATCTATACAATGGCTAAAGTTTTAAGTCTGCAATTAGAAGGAATTTTCGGTATAAAAAAATAAATTATCATCATTATTTTTTATTTAAATATCTAATTTTACTAAAATCTGAACTTTAAATGTTTATTAAAAAAATTTGATTGTATTGTATATTAAATAATTGTAAATTGTTATAGTAAAAATTTAGGTGGAACTATAGATTAAAAAATGTCAAATTTTTTAATTAGTGTTATGAACACTATATTACATTACATTGGATTACCATATTATATTAAATTAGTTGTACGTGTTTTATTATATAAGATATTATGTGGGTATGAATATTTAGTAAACGTTCATGTTTATTCGAAGGGCACCATCTGATAGAGGGGCGTCAGCAGTAAGAGTAAACATACCTAATTTATCAAATTTTATTTCATAATTAAATTTTTATAGTTTATTTGAATTATCGCAACTTACAAATAAATATAAACAATTAAAAATACTTCCACTGAGTGTTTGTTTACATACCTAATCCAACTAGTCACTAGAACTCAATCTATTGATAGAAAAAAAGCTTTCTTATAAGTTATAGTGAAAATAATCAACTGAAGAAAGAAGATTCTAAAACAGAAACGGACTTAACCATCCTGCTTAAAATATTAGAAATAAAAAAGGTATAAAGCTTTAAAAATAAATAGAAAAAAACTTAACAATTTAAAATATCTAATTATAAATAAATTATTAATTATTTTTAAAAGTAATAGGGACTTTTTTACTTTTGACTAGTTAAGTATCAAATAAATATAATTTTCCATAGAAACCACTTGTAACACATCATTGTAAAACTAATATTATATTTATTACTCTCTTTAGAATCTAATATAATTGGTACATTACATTGATACTCAGATTTTTTTTTTAAATACAACTATTTTTAATTATGTAATAATCAAATTTGTGTTCATAGATAATATTACAAATAAATACAAATTTATTTTAGGCTTTAGTAGCCATCAAGGCCTAGACCTAACCTAACCAATGTTTATAAATTTTAGTACTGTGAAACGTAAATTATTTGCACTAATTGTAACTGATTAGAGTATGGATAATCAAATAATGATTAAAAATTTACAAAAAACATGTATTTAAATATTTTATACAGTTAAAAACAAAATGAACGTACTGTATGTATGGCATGTAATTATAATATGATAAAATAAATATAAAACAATATATTTTTAAAAGTATGTAGTATAATTAATTTTAATTTAAAATTTAAAAAAATAAAAAAAATATCTTATTATTCAAAAATTTTGTAATTTAGATAATTGATGTTCTATTACTAAATCCAACTATCATTATGGCATAATAAAATACATATTTTTTATTAACAACAAACATTTAATCATTGGAAAATATACTGTTTGGTTAAATTATAGGTAAATATAGATATACCTATTTAATAAACATAATATAAAATATTGACGCATATACCTATTACAATTAATAAGATTGTTTTTATGAGATTTTCAATAGATTTTAAATACTAAATTTAAAATTTTTCATTTTGAATAGAATATAACAAAATTATACACAGAAATAATAATATAATTATAGTGACATGTGACAAATGAGAATTAAATATTGAAAACATTACAAATTCTATCTAATATAGTAGGTAAAGCCGGTAAAGAAATGCATTGTTTATGTATGAGTTAAGTAAAATTTATAAGTGACCTAACCTTTAGGTATCTTTAGTACTTTCATCATTATAATACATTAAATACACTATATTGTACTCATAATATAAAATAAACAATTGAAAATCATATCATGTGTAAATGAATAGGTGATATTTTAATGATAATTACTGTTATTTGTCTAATTACTCTGATTAGTATACATGTAATACCTATTTTGTTTCAGTTTATTTTTATAAATTAACTTACCCTGAGAGCCCATGAATACTAATTTGGCGGATAATCTCTTCATAGTTAATTAGTATCACTATTTTTGTTGGTAAGTTTATTTAATTATTTTAAGTATAACGTTTTTAACCAGCAGTTGATTAAAAAAAACTACTCATAGGCTATAATAGAAATATTAAAATTTATTAATTAGGATTAAATACGAGTGTCCACTGTCAAGTGATAACTATTCAACTATGAAAGGCTTCATTCAATTAAAACAAAGAAGTATAAATGAATAATTTTATTTTTTAATTAATTAATAAAAATACCAAGTATTATCTACATATTCTACATAATGTATTATACTATTCTAATTCTAGTTTATAATTTATATATATATGTTGCGTAATCAATAAAATTGATGGATGATAAAATATTAGTATTTTACAATTCAAAGTACCCATTGGCCATTACATAATCTTGTATTTTTAAATACGTGAAATAAGAAAACATAGATTATTGGTTTTCATATATATATGATATGATATAAGCAAGTTCCAACCTACAACCTACTGCATATCCTATTGGCTGTACTCCAACATCAATCCATTGACCATTATCCGGTGCCAGGTAAACTGGTTTTTATCATTAACACATTAACCACGATTGCACAGAATCGCCTACGAAATGTATAATATTATAGTCTTAGAATATGTATAATATTATTGTTCTGTGATAACTGATAATATAGACAATAGACATCCATTCAAAGTAAGTAGTCTGTGGCTGTACCAATATTATGTTCATATACCTAGCATCACTGTTATCATCGTTACCATAATATTCTGTGAACATCTTTCGTGGACCTTATTATTAGGTTTGTGATAAGGACATAATTTTGCCGCCATTTCACTACAAATATCTTTATTTGAGTCTTTATCATTTTTCGGACACGGGACAACTGAAATCCACCAATAATAAAAAATAATAATACAACATTGATATTATATTATACTGATGTATAATAAAATAATAAATTAAAAGTATTGTTATTTAATAATTAAAATTGCAACTAAACGATAATTTAATAGATATAAAACAACGTTCATAGGTTTTATATATTTAATATACTATTTAGTTTGTGTAAAAGTGTAATTGAAAAGCCATAAAATGGACTACTTGGACCCAGAAGAAGAATTTGAAATGATGCACGCTGATGAATTGGAAATGATGAATGAAATGGACTTTACAACCGATAGTAATTTCATCACATTTACATAATTTTATTGATTTTTTTTATTATTATTAGGTATAACCATAACATTTAAAAATAAACAACCATTTTTGTTAAGTGATTAAGCTCCTTCAATTTAATATCAGATTGAATATAATTTGTAAATATACTATACTATACTCTACTTAACTTAATATTACATAGAATGGGTGAAAACAGATTGTATTTTTCTCATACGTTTCACTACTGGTTTGGCTTTGCTGCTTCCACTCTTTCATCCATTTATAGTTCTGTATTCATTTATTATATTTTATGCTAAAATAATATTATATAATACAATATTCTAGATAACAAAATTTACCCATCTCTATAAGTTACGACTTCATCTATGTGCAGACTTTTGTGATTGCTAAAGCCAATCTAATATTTAATAGACATTTGGTATACTATAAAGATAAAGTTTAATTTTTTTACGATAGCAGTGAAAAATCAAATATCCTGTTTACAGTAAAACCATTGCAGAATGCAGATACATAATTACTTTAAAATGATAAAATTACCATCTTGTAAATTATTATGTATATTGTAATAGTAAGAAGTTCTATAATAGTATTTTTTATTTTTATTGTCTATAGCTGTTAAAATATGCTCACCAAAAGATACAAGACGAAGTTTAAAGTTTTCTTCTAATGACGTAGCTGATTCTGAAGGGAATTTAAATTTGTCAAGTGAATTAAATGGTGTGTTTCCTTTATCTCAAACATCAATGGTTTCTTTTAATCTGGATGATAGTAATAAAAACAAAGTATGTTATATTTAAAGTTGTACAATACTCTATTCAAAATTATATTCACTATTTATTTACTAATTTCCAGGCACAACAAAGTACTTCAGGGTCTATTATTACTATCAACAATAAAAGATCTTTAAATGTACAAGATCTATTTGGAAATACAGATGATATTAATTTTGATGATGAAGATTGTAAGTTTTCAAATTTTTATGTAATCATTAAACTTTATATTAAATAATAATATATGATTTTAAATCAATTTATTATTTATATGCTCTATATTTGAATGCAATTAAAAACAAAAAAATAAATGTATTTAATATTGTAAATAATTGTTGAGACTTATAAATCTAGTTGCTAAGTGTAAGTTGTTAATACATTTTCAATTTTATTTTAGTGGAACCTGTTTTAAAACGTTCAAAAGTAGATCCATTAACTGATAAAGATATTAAACAACAAGATTTAATAAAAAGAATTATTGATCAAAGAAAAATATTCAAATCTGGAAAAAGATCCAATTTTTTATCATCTACCTCTTGCAATAACTCAAAGTAATTTTTTTAAATTAATATTATCTAATTATTTGTAAAAACTAAAATGTTTTAACTAAAGTCCAGATTGTACATACTTAAAAATATTAAAAATGAATACTATAATATTATTATTACATTCTTAAATGTTTGAAAAGTATGTAAAATATGCTCTTATTCAAAATAATGTTATTTGTTTCTTTGATAAATATTAAAAGATAAACATTAACTTTTGATTAAAATTTGATAAACAATTCAGCTATAATATGTACAATGTATTATGCGTATTTATCAAGTTATTTTTTATTAATAAGAGTGCCAATCATGGATAATCTATTGTGAAAAAAAACTGTTTTGTGATATACTATAAGCAGTAAAAACATCTTTTTAAAATTTTTCTAAGCATTTAGGTTTGTAAATTATGTATACAATTTTTATCTTTTATGTACATTAAAAAATAATTTTTTTTAATAAATATGCTATTATCCCTAAAATATATATTTTAATGCATATACTTTTTCTATGCATTATCTGTTAAATAAAATATCACAATAATTTTATTAATTTTTGCTTATTCAAACTAAAAAAAATATGAAAATTCATAAAAATCCAGATTTTACATATAATACCATAATATGTTTATACTCATAAGCATATGCTGGTTTTCTTAACAGAAGATTTAATACTGCAGTAGCTTTTGGCTTTAAGGGTGTTGGCTCCTCCTGATTTTTTCCAATTTTATTCTAGAGTTAAGATTTCTATTTTTGTAATTAATTCTCATACAATCACGGATGTGGTTATATTAGACCGTATTATGTATTGATTTATATAATTATATGCTTAAATATAAAAATTTCACTACACTTTTTAATGCGTCCTTTCTAAAAATAAGATGATTAACAATAACAATTTTCTGACATTTGAGTTGCATTATTAAGTTTGATGTTACGGTATATATTTGACACTGTTGTATTGCCATTATTTTCTCAGAACAAACCAGCAACTATTTCTTATGCTGTCTTATCATTATAAAATATAAAATAATAGTATTTTATTCTCTTTTGCGTATTAAAATTTTGAGGGCGGAAAACTATGCATGGTGGGGTAGCTTCCTCTGACTTTTCCCATGCACATGCTTATGTTTGTACAAAATTAATAAAATATTTGATATGTATTCTTAAATATATATTTGTTGAATAAAAAATTGTTATATTGCATATTTTCTAGTCATTTTTGTCCTCATGAAAGTGTTTCAAGAAGAGTGCCATCATGGTCTTTTTTTCCTGCGTGTGACGATGAAAATCAAAGATTATACATTCGTTTTCGATCTGCAGATGCTGTACAAGAAGAAGTATTTTAAAAATATTTATCACAATTTAGAATAAATACTTTATTATGTACTAAATTTATAATTCTTTTACTTATTTTCTATGTTTCAGATATCAAGTTTGTCATGGCATACAAAATCAGTGCAATTGCTTTCAGACCCTATTGATGATTTGATTGCACGTGCTTATGAGAAGGTTCCATTATTTATTTATTGTTTAGATTTTATAAAAGCAGTTTAGAGAGTAACACTTATTAATTTTTAAAAGTTATATATTTACCTAATGCATAGAATTTGTTCTAAAGATATCTAGCTATTATTTCATGTAGTTATTACATGTTTTGATATATTTTCAATACCTAGAGATCTGCTTTTATTTAAATTATAAACAGCTTGTTTGACATTTTCATAATTTATAAGATAATAAACATTGGCTATTAACGGTAGCATGATGCTACAAAATCATTAAAAAATGAAAGGTGACTGTTACAAAACAAAAGTAGAGGAATGTTAAAAGGCAGTCTTCTTCACTAATATTGTTATCTCCATAACGCTTAGCTCACAACTGTTTTCTAAATTTTTTTGCTGTGGTATGTTCTGAACATTTTTGATTTATTTTATTGAAAATTACTTTAGTTGGACAAAACATTTCACAGTCGATGAAGAGGTAAAATAAGCTGTTTAGAATAGCACAAGAAAAGTGTGGAAAACACTTTAGAAAGTAGAAGTAAAAGTTAATACTAGTTATTGGACTTATATTGAACAATTCACTAACTATGCTGAAAAATAATTTTGTAATAAATTGTACACTTTGGAAAAAATAACAAATTATAGAAATAATTTTTTTTTTTTAAACGGGCTTTAATTTGGGGTTTAAATTCATCTTATGTCATAGATTTCTAATAACCAATGTTTTTTGCATAGATCGAGAATAATGAAGCTATACGATCAGAAATAAATCAAAATGATGCTGGTACCTTGATGAATAATATTGACAACACAGCAGAATTGTGGGTTCAGAAATATAAGCCAAATAGATATTTGGATTTGTTGAGTGATGAAAGTACTAATAGAATATTATTGCATTGGCTAAAACTATGGGATAAAATAGTATTTAACAAGGAAGTCCACAAAAAAAGAAAAGCTTCTAATGATGTTTATGACAAATCAGCAGGTATATTTTTAATAAATTATATAATATGTATATTTATGTATATTATTTCCTCGTGCATAAATATTGAAGATGAAATTGGTTATTACTTGATCAACTGGTTCAAATCTTCATATCCGAGTATCGTGGTATCAACACATATTTTAGATTGGTGGTGGCAATGCCTATAAACTAATATTCATGGCTTAATTAAAAATTTTCAATTCAAGAGTATATACCAGAGTTTGCAAACCATGTACAGTCTTTTTCTTTA